GCTTGTGTTCTAGTCTGGTGCTTGACACTTAATAATACTAATATGTAATCGCAAAATATATATGTATTAATATCATGATTAAAAAAACAGTAACCCAGCGCGCAGCCTCGCTGGGCCAACCGCCGGCCCAACGTCTTGAGGCTAGTATAAAATAATTCTCGCCTCTTCTAGATCGCGAGTCCTGTCGTGGCGGGCTGGCTAGCCCGTTGCGCTGCTGTACCGCAGGTCGACGGTTCGAATCCTGCGCGGGATTCAATTTTTGTACGTCTTATTTACTTGTTCAAACCGACGCAAATTTGTAAACAAGTCCGAATCTGTGGTGGAAATTTTCCCAAAATAATTGGGCATTTATGTGATTATGCACAAAGCAAGGGAGTTTTTTGCAAAATCTTGCCACGTCCGCACCCGACGGGCAGGCCCAACCAGTCAGTTTCTCTGTCAATACATATAAACAGCAGTTTTAGCCTCTTTTGCAACGCCTCGCCCAAAGTTGGTACTGACACGTAAATATTACCAATTTTGATATCAATCTGCTTCCAATGCCCCAATTGTGGTACTTCTGTGCAATTTACTCAGTTGACTACGATGAGACTTTCTCACCCGTAGCAACGCTTAAGTCTATCTGAATCATGTTAGCAATTGTCGCATTTTATGATTATGAAATTTGGCAGATGAATGTTAAAACTGCATTCCGGAATGGATTTCTGAAAGAAGAGTTGTATATGATGCAACCAGAAGGTTTGTCGATTCAAAGGGTGCTAACAAAGTGTGGAAGCTCCAGCAATCCATTTATGGACAGGTACAAGCCTCTCGGAGTTGGAATAAATGCTTTGATAGTGTGATCAAAGCATATGGTTTTATACAGATTTTTGGAGAAGCATGTATTTATAAGAAAGTGGGTGGGAAATCTGTAGCATTTCTAATATTATATGTGGATGACATATTGTTGATTGGAAATGATATAGAATTTCTGGATAGCATAAAGGGATACTTGAATAAGAGTTTTTCGATGAAAGACCTCAGTGAAGCTGCTTAAATATTGGGCATCAAGATCTATAGAGATAGATCAAGACACTTGGTAAGATTTTTCAATGTGTAAATACCTTGACAAGTTTTTGAAAGAGTTCAAAATGGATCAGTCAAAGAAGAAGTTATTGTCTGTATTACAAGGTGTAAAGTTGAGTAAGACTCAAAGCCCAACCATGGCAAAAAATAGAAAGAGAATGAAAGTCCTTCCCTATGCCACAATCATAGGTTTTATAAAGTATGTTGTGCTGTGTACCAGACCTATTGTGTACCTTGTAGGGCTGGACCAAAAGCTCGTAGCTCGCGAGCTTAATGAGCGCTCGATAGTTCGGCTCGTTAAGCTTGTAGCTCGCTTCTTAATGAATAGAGCCAATCATTGATTTTAGCTCGTTAAGCTTAACGAGCTTAACGAGCGAGCTAACGAGTTTCACGAGTAGCTCGTTAAGCTCGTTAGTAACAACGCAACACATATTTTCATATTACGTGACAAACTTTTTGTAGCATCTCAGCCCATCTATTTAATCTAATCGACATATGAGGCAACAAACTACTTTATTTCTTTTTGTAGTCACCATATTTCATCTTGAAAAACATTCATCATGTATATCATAACACATTATAATCTATTAACGAGCACTCGCGAGCGCTCACGAGCTTAACGAGTTTCAAACGAGCCGAGCCGAGCAAGGTTTTCTGCTCGTTAATCTTAACGAGCTTAACGAGCCGAGCCTTAACGAGCACGAGCTTAACGAGTACGAGCTTAACGAGCCGAGCTACTCGTTAGTCCAGCCCTAGTACCTTGCCATGAGTTTTGGCAAGGGGGTACAATAGCGATCTAAGAGTACATCACTGGACAACGGTCAAAATTATCCTTAGTGAGGACTAAGGAAATATTTCTCGGTTATGGAGGTGATAAAGAGTTCGTCGTAAAGAGTTACGTCAATGCAAGCTTTAACACAGATATGGATGACTCTAAGTCTCGATCTGGATAAAAATTGAAAGTGGGAGCAATTAGCTAGAGTAGCTCCGTGCAGAGCATTATAGACATAGAAATTTGCAAAATACATATGGATCTGAATGTGGCAGACTCGTTGACTAAACTTCTCTCACAAGCAAAAAATGATCACACCTTAGTACTCTTTGAGTGTTAATCACATTGCGATGTGAACTAGATTATTGACTCTAGTAAACGCTTTGGGTGTTAGTCACATGGCGATGTGAACTAATCACATAAAGATGTGAATTATTGGTGTTAAATCACATGACAATATGAACTAGATTATTGACTCTAGTGCAAGTGGGAGACTGAAGAAATATGCCCTAGAGGCAATAATAAAGTTATTATTTATTTCCCTATTTCATGATAAATGTTTATTATTCATGCTACAATTATATTAACTGGAAACTTAGTACATGTGTGAATACATAGACAAAACAAAGTGTCCCTAGTATGCCTCTAATTGACTAGCTCGTTTATCAAAGATGATTATGTTTCCTAAACATAGACATGTGTTGTCATTTGATGAGTAGGATCACATTATTAGGAGAATAATGTGATGGACAAGACCCATTCGTTAGCTTAGCATTATGATCGTTACAGTTTCAATGCTACTGCTTTCTTCATGACTTGTACATGTTTCTCAGACTATGAGATTATGCAACTCCCGAATATCGGAGGAACACCTTGTGTGCTATCAAACGTCACAACGTAACTGGGTCACAACGTAACTGGGTGATTATAAAGATGCTTTACAGGTGCCCCCCTCCACAATTACACACCTCGGTGATATCGTCGTAGTGCTTAGGCGAAGCCCTGCGCCGGTAACTTCATCATCACCATTGCCACGCTGTCGTGCTGACGAAACTCTCCCTTGGTCTCAACTGGATCAAGAGTACGAAGGATGTCATCGAGCTGAACGTGTGCTAAACGCGGAGGTGCCGTACATTCGGTACTTGGATCGGTTGGATCGCGAAGACGTTCGACTACATCAACCGTGTTATTGAAACGCTTCCGCTTTCGGTCTACGAAGGTACGTGGACACACTCTCCCCTCTCGTTGTTATGCATCACCTAGATAGATATTGCGTGGTCGTAGAATTTTTTTTGAAATTACTGCGTTCCCCAACAATATTTGTCTTGAAACTTATTTTATTTTTTCTCAAGTATAAGTTTGGGAGAGAAAATAGTCGAAGCAACAGCAGCCACGCCTCCTCTTGGAGGCCGTGGTAGCGCCGAATGAATAAGAAGCGCAGATGGAGCTGATACTTTGATGCTCCCTCCTCCACGATAATGGTTCGGAGCTGCTTCTCCGTCGCGTGAAGGCGGAGCCTTATTCGCCTCCTTGCCAACCGGTGAAGGTGGAGCCTCCTCCTCCCCCCCCCCCCGGTGCAACTGTGGCATTCAAATCAGACGAAACTCTCCCTCGGCCTTAACTGGATCAAGAGTACGAGGGACGTCATCGAGCTGAACATGTGCTGAACGCGGAGGTGCCGTACGTTCGATACTTGGATCGGTTGGATCGCGAAGACGTTCGACTACATCAACCGTGTTATTGAAACGCTTTCGCTTTTGGTCTACGAAGGTACATGGACACACTCTCCCCTCTCGTTGCTATGCATCACCTAGATAGATCTTGCATGGTCGTAGGAACTTTTTTGAAATTACTGCGTTCCCCAACAATATTTGTCTTGAAACTTGTTTTATTTTTTTCTCAAGTATAAGTTTGGGAGAGAAAATAGTCGAAGCAACAGCAGCCACGCCTCCTCTTGGAGGCCGTGGTAGCGTCGAAGGAATAAGAAGCGCAGATGGAGCTGATACTCCGATGCTCCCTCCACGATAACGGTTCGGAGCTGCTTCTCCGTCGCATGAAGGCGGAGCCGCATTCGCCTCCTTGCTGACCGGTGAAGGTGGAGCCTCCCCCCCCCCTCGGTGCAACTGTAGCGTTCAAATCAGACGCCGCGTGAAAGAAGAGCGCATATCAGTCACCGCTACATGGCCTGAAGGAGGATATTTTGATTTATGTTTTTTCTTTGAGAATATTTTGGTGCAAAGAACATTTTGAAGAAAAAGTACAAGAGAACATTGGGTAATTTAACTTGGGGTATGTAAATGCAGTACATAATAAATTGGATGGTTTTTCTGAACAATTTATTAGAAAAATAATAATTGTCCTCATTCACAAAAAAACACAATTGTTGTTGTAAATAATATTTTGAAGATAACATTTAGCTTTATTGATTTACATAATTAGTTTGATGTTCTAGAGATCATTACTGAAACAATGTTGTTGTAAATAATGTTTGTAGAAAACATACGATTTGGATATTTGTCTTCAAAATTATTTTATTTTTCTCAAGTATATTTTTCAGAGAGAAAATACTAGTCGATGTAAAGAATATTTGAAGAAAACATACAAGTGTACCTTGGGAAATTTGACTAGAAACATAATCAATTGTATTGTTGTCCTAAACAATTTGTTTGGAAATACATAGTTGTTGCTCAAGATTGTTTTGAAGATAACATGGTGCTTTCATGATTTTTTTTTGGACATTGCTGAGAAGGGATGAGAGTGGTTTCGCGATGACATGATCCGAAAAAGATGAGGGAAGTGTTGGCTGTTGAGCGCAGAGGTAATAAAAGCAGGAGGTGACCCATAGCCGAGCTCGTCAGGGTATTATCCAGGCAAACATCCAAAAAATATGACAGCTGTGGGATTTGAACCCACGCCCTTTCGGACCAGAGCCTAAATCTGGCGCCTTAGACCACTCGGCCAAACTGTCTTAGTGAAATCTATTGTATTTATCTTGTAGTTGTTGAAAAGCTAGCAAAACTGACGATATGCTATTCACTTTGAGCAAACAAATCATACAGCGTTCGAAACGATACTACTCCACTACACAGCACCCTACATGTGCAAGACACCAAACCGTCGGACACGACACGAAAACTCTGGCACGATTTGGTCTAGCTATAAGCTAATGCACCTCCTCTTCCTTGTGGGTGTAGATGACGCAGTCCGCCCGGGGGTAGGCGACGCAGGTGAGCACGTACCCCTCGGCCATCTGCGCGTCGTCGAGGAACGATCCGTCCGACTGGTCCACCTCGCCGGACGCCAGCTTCCCCGCGCACGTCGAGCACGACCCGGCCCGGCACGAGTAGGGCAGCTCCACGCCGGCCTCCTCCGCCGCGTCCAGGATGTAGGCGTCCTCCGCCACCTCCAGCTCCGTCTCCTCGCCGTCGGGCCCGACGAGCTTCACCTTGTGCGTCGCGGCCGCCGTCCTGAACCTCGCCGACAGCCTCACGCCACCCGTCGTGGGTCGCTTCAGAGAGGCGGTGGGACGTGGGGCGGTCCTGATCGGCGCCGGCGCGGCAGCAAACGTCGGGATGCACCTGACGCCGGAGGCCGGGACGCACGCTGTTGCTGCGCCCAGAGTTGCCATGGTTCAAAAAGAAAGCAGAACTTCGCTTGCGAGTACTACCGTGCGATCACAACTTGAGAACGGCAGGGCACACGCACGCGCGCGGTATTAATAGACGGGCGTGGGATGTTGAGCGGCACCAGTAGCAGCCTCGCCAGGAGCGTTAGTGGCTGGTGTCCTTGGGAAATGGCCATTGGTGACGAGTGACGACACGAAGGTGCTAGTGCAATGTAGAAGCATCAGAACATATCCTACTTCATCGAGAGAAAGAAGCAGATCCCAGAGGGGTACAGCCGTACAGGTGTCGAGCTGTCGTGCAGGTGTAGACAGCAAACAATGCTTCGCGTGCTCTCCGTGGGACAGAGGAGTGCGTCTACATTATAACGCGGCCTCGCCCACGCGCCCTCCTAAGTTGGGCTGGCCCCAAGAAGTAGTGCTGTTTCTTTTCTTCAGTTCTCTTTTATATCACATTTTGTTCATTTTTCTATGTTCACACATATTAGTGTACTGTAGGTAAACATATGTTAATATTTTTCATGTAAGTCTAGGAAAAATTATTACTCCCTCCGATCAATATCAATTGTCGATGATTTAGTACAACTTTGTGCTAAATCAGCGACAATTAATATGGGTCGGAGGGAGTAATGTATTTTGGGTAAAATATCCTAATATTTTTCATGTAAGTTAACAAAAACTGTTCATGTATCTTAATAAATATTTATGTAAAGAAAACTGTCACATCAATTTTAAAATCTTCATGCAAATAGAAACTCCACTGGAATTTTTGAAACACGTCCAAGAAACTTAAATAAGCGTTCACAAATTTTTGAATCATAATTGAATTTATTAAATATTTGCACATTATCAGAAAAAAATTTATGTATTTTGAGAAGTGCTCAAGCCTTTTTTCTAAAAAAAATTATGTAAATTAAAATGTGTTTGTGCATTTCAATTTGTTTCATAATTTAAGTGGTATTCATCCATTTAAAAAATCATTCATGTAAGTTTGAAGACTGAGTGTTAAAAAATATTCATGCAATTTTTAAAAAGTAATAATGCAATAATAAAAATTGTTTAAAATTCGAAAATTCTTCATGTAAATTTATAGAAGTATATAATGTTTCAAATATTGTGTTTTTACATAATCTCAAACATCTATAAGAAATAACAGAATCAGTTACATATTTTTATATTTTCTAATACATGGGAAAATATAAAAACAAATTGAAAAAAGGAAATAAAATACAAAAAATGAATATATAATTGTTCCAGATAAACATGATAAATCAATAGAAAAGGAAACCCCTGAAAACAAACAAACAAACAACCCGAACAAAACCGCAGTTACTGGGCCACGACCTATGTTTCGGGCACGAGAGGCGAGCGTGGCTTATATCTCGCAAGTAAAATCCAGGAATATGCGACGCTCTTGGGCAAGCCTCGTGCGTCGTTTCCATGCCAATGTTCTCCCTGGTTTTAGAGGGGGATTTATTCTTTCGATTTTTCGCACGCCATGCCATGTCCGACTTTCATGTCTTATATCCTTTTCGTTTTTTTAATCTTTAACATAGAAAAATTCTATGAACCTTTAAATTCATAAAAATGTTTTAAAATTGACGACCACTTTCTTAATTTTGTGAACATTTTTATAAATCTGCTATTTTTCAAATGTCGCTCGAATTTTAAAAAATCATGCAGGTGATTCTCTATTGCCATATTTTTATCTTCATTTTATACTATTTTAAACTTTCATTTTTTTAAATGTATAAAAAATATTAAAAAAATCACAAATCTGCCATTATTCCGGCCCATTGCCTCGTGTGGTGCATGCCCGAGAATAAATGGGCTAGAGCCCGCAGGGAGTGCACACGCGTGTTACCTCATTGTTCCCCGTTTTGTGTAGGTGTAGGCTTTTAGCTGATTACCCTAGAATTGGATCCCTCCCCATCTGCTCCCAGAATCTTCAACCCCCATTCATTTGACAATCCTAACTAGTTGGAGTCAAATTAGCTATGATTGTCAGATGAATGAGGGTTCAAGATTCTTGGAGAAGATGGGAGGAGTCTGATTCTTGGAGAATTTGCCAAAAGAACTGTCCCCTAATGTCGAACTTTCCGGCGTATAACCTTTGCAGGGACGAAAATGTAGATTGGTCACATTTAACCTTTGAAGTCGAGTCGTATCAGCGATATGTGTGTGGGCTCTCGGGAAAACTCACATGTTGTGGGTTCCGAATATGTCGTGCGATGTGCTATACTCAAGCCATTCGGCTACTATGTGCCAGTGGGCACAAAACAATCAAAAAATCATTTGCAAGCAAATCTTATTTGTTGCTCATTGTGACAAAATGGACAACAATTCACACTGGATTGTGACCCATCGACTAGGCCTACTAGTGTTTTTTTGCTCTCAATTTTTTGTTTAGTTATTTTAGGTTTCGATTAGTTCTTTCCATCTTTTATTCCTCCAGTTTTCCTCTATAGTTTATAGTTTTCCTTTTTCTTATTTGATTTATATTTTTATATTTTGTAAATATATTTTATGTATTCTAAAAATATTCATCATGTATTGAAATTATTCATCATGTTAAATAAAAAAATCATAAGTTTAAACAATTTTCAGGAATGTAAAGAACTTCAAGAATAAAAAATTTACATGAATTTAGAAGGGTATTCTTGAAGTTTAAAAAGTTCACATTTTTTTAATTTATCATGTATTTTTATAAATAGTCATGCATACAATAATTAAAACAATGGGAAAATAATAGAAAAGGTAAAAGGAATAAAAATTAAAAATCTAAAGAAAAAACAGAAGAATAAAAGAACGCGGACAAAGATCAACACGACCAAAGCAAAATTTGACCGAAAAAGTAGTAAACAAATATATAAATGAGCATTATTGGACCGTGTATGTGACCAACCCAAATAACCAGTCTTCGTACGTTACCCGCGCTATACAACACATTTGCTTGGCCACAATACTATTTAATAGATGATACCCCACACGTTATTAAGGGAATGTTCTGCGATATACTTGAATGAAATTTGGTTGTATGGGACATGAATATATTAAAGTAATAATATGAGAAGTAAAGTTAAAACACATATGATGTATTGCGTTTGATTATTATTGCATAGTTATAAAATATCTAATTAAATAAAAATAGCATAATAGAATGGAAACTCTTAGGCATGTTTGCAAGTTAAGGTGGGCTATTGCATGATTGTATGTTGAGATGTGCCTCTTCTCTGTCATGTTACATGCTGAGGTGACATACTTGCATGTTGAAAAAAATAAACTATTGGGAGTTAGCTATTTAGACATGGATGATTTGAAATGCCAATTGTAAAGTTCATATGGAGTTTGTTTACAAAAAATAATGCTGAGAAAGAAATTGTGTTACAGGCCTCGAAAAGGACTTGATCATTTGAGTTCATCCTCTTTGTTGCCTCTTGATGGTTCTGAAACGGCAACTGGTGTTCTAGTGGGGTTAAGATCCTCTGCAGTACTGCACACAGTGCTATAGTGCAGATAACATATGGGGCCAGGTCCACACAACAACAATCGTACTGCACTGTATGCTACAACAGAGGATCCTAACCTGCTCTAGTGTAGTCATATTGTTCATTGACCCGCTATGCCACGGAAGACCGTTGCCGTCACAAATACAGTACTATATACATTGAAGTATTCAATTGGCTGACTGTAGCACAATCATTGTGGAATGGTAGTGTAGTATACGCAAAAGTATAAATAGAAATCTGGGATACACAAAATACAATCTCAAATCATGTCATACAATTCTGCTATCTTATTGTGCTTCTGGATAAGATACAACCTTTACACGGCAACATACGCAGTATTCCCACGTCGGCATGTTAATCTGGATATAAGGAATTTGATTATTATATGGTTATGGAATATTTATTGAATATGAGTAGCATGCATGGTGCATATTAAGGTGTGTCTTTTCCCCTGCATAATGGCATGTTGAAAGAATTAAATTTAATGGAGTATTATCCCTCAAAAATAATAATTTAATGGAGTATCCATGATGGCTGTTGAGTTGGTGTAGTTGCATATTAAGATAATTGAGTTAGTAGGGATAAACTATTTAGATATACTAGACGATGCCCTCGTGTTATTATGGAATTGGGCATATGGTTTCTAAATATTGCATAGAATACTAATTCGGTCCTTATGCTTTAAGCTATGTGAGAAATTTCTGTGCAAGTAAAAACTCTTAACATGAAAATTTATGCACACCACAATTTAAATGCAATGTGATTTAAATTCACTTAGAATGCACTACATGTTGCATGGTAGAGAATTTCCGTGTGTAGGACAAATGCAAGTAGATCAAACTAGTAAATCTAATGGCTCAAGAATTTTAATGATGTGAAAGCACGTATATTGAGATAATTAGAGGTATTTGAAATCATTCTCTTAGGTATATATAGGATATATTTCCTGCAAAAAAAAATGCCAATTGCAAAGTTCATATGGAGTTTGTTTGCAAAAAAAAAAAAAAATCCCCCCCAAAAAAATTGAGTTCCATGCCTTGAAAAGGACTTGAGCACTTGAGTTCATCATCTTTGTTGTCTCTTGATGGTTCTGAAACGGCAACTGGTTTTCTTCTGTAGCCATATTGTTCATTGACCCGCTATGTCCGGGCAAACAGTAGCACATCATTGAAGTATTCAACCAGTTGACTGTAGCACAATCATTCTGGAATAGTAGTGTTAGTGTAGTCAATGCAAAGGCATAATAGAGAGATATGGGATACCAAATACTTCGTGAAAATACTTGTCGGAGAAATAGATGTATCTAAACATATTTCAGTTTTACATACATCCATTTTGATCCATTTCTCCGACAAGTATTTCCGGACGGAGGCAAATTATGTCACACGTACAATCCTGCCATCTTATTGTGTTTCTGATAAGATACAATTTTACAGGGCAACATACTCTACGCAGTATTCGCACGTCGGCATGTTGATCAGACGTGCTCCTGACTGGCGCAGTTAACAATATCAGCTCACACGCTGGACTTCACCTTATCGCTGAACCCCGTCTGCCCATCGAAGAACCTCGACCACAGCATGATCCCGCCGTACTTCGGCGACTTCTGCACCACCGGCAGCACCTCGGACAGCAGGTCGCTCGGCTCCACGAACCCGCCGCCGGCGGCCGCGGGCGCCGCCGGGAGCCCCAGGAACACCTGCCGCGCCGGTATCGACGCCCACTTCTGCCACGCGCTCGCCAGGTTGCCCGCCCCGCCGGCCTTGGTGTACTGGCACGGCGGGTTGTTGTAGAACTGCACCCACACGTAGTCGAAGAGCCCCGTGCCGAGCGCGCCGCCGAGCCCGCCGAGCATGGCGTCCGGGAACGGGCACTGCGGCGCCGCCGCCAGGTACACCGGCTTGTAGGCACTCCCCTTCCCCGAGTACTTCTTGAGCTCCCGCGCCAGGTCGTCCCAGTGCGCGCTGCCGCCGCTCTCGATGTCGAAGTCGACGCCGTCGAGCACCGCGTCGCCGAGGGGCCTCGACGCCGACGTGCCGCCGAGGTAGTTGTCCCAGAGGTAGTCGGCGACCTGCTTGGCGTCGGCGGCGGACGAGAGGCCGTAGCTGCCGACGCCGCCACCGATGGAGAGTAGGACCTTGATGCCGCGGCTCTGGCAGGACTTGACGTCGGCGCCCACGAAGGTGCACGAGCCGCTGGTCGCCGGGTCGCAGTGGCCGGCCAGGTTCAGCAGCGGCTTCTGGCCCCTGCCGAAGGTGAAGAGGAAGGCCACGTTGACGAACTTGTAGTTGCCGGTGGCGCACGCCTGCGCCAGCGTGCCCTCGTTGCCGTTCTGGCCCCAGTAGATCGCGATGCCCCCGGCGCGCGCTCCGGCGGCCAGCCCGGCCATTGTCACCGCGGTGAGCAGCAGCATTGCCGGAAACAGCTTGCTCGCCATCTTTGCTCTCTTGGAAGCTGGGAATGGAGCTGCTATTGCTGGAGAAGGTTCTTGGTCCATGTATATATAGATAGCCAGTAGAACTCGGCGAGTTGTGCGGAGGCAGCGGCGCCGTAGCTTCGTTGATTCGTTCCACGGCTCACCATTTGTTAGGCTGCTCAACGCCGTCGCAAGTTGACCGGGCATGCACCTCTGGATGAAGATAGGAGAATGAGTGGCGCGGGCATCCGGGGCTTAATTATCGTCGCAATCAGGGCCGTTGGCGATACGAGTATGGTATGATATTCGCGCCTGACGGTGCAAGCTGATCGCTGTCGGCAGTGGTTGACCTTTGACCCGTGTGAGCTGGTCGTCGAGAGCAGCATCCACCAATCTCGCGCCCAATTGCATCCATCTCTCGCGGTGCGATGACCATTCTTCCTGTTCTCCTATGAAGTTTCTTCGGTTCGTTTGAATCGTTCGGTGTGTGAGAGCGCTGTAATACTGCCGCAATGCCGCTGCATCTGCATCTTTCCACAATACGCGCGAGTATGACCAAATTTGCTACGTACTTATCTGCTTGGAAGTTTGACGTTCCAGAGGCGGCTCGCTGATAATACAACGAACAGTGCTCTCCTGTATCACGAGTAAGATGGTGGAACTGAGTGGACACCCATATCATTTCGTCTGAATCGTGTAGATCTCCTTCAGTCCTTGTCAGCTGTGCATTGTGACGCATAAGTGTCTATATTTATCAATTCAATGTGGTGGAACCCAAATGAACCGAAGAAAAACAACTCAATGGCCCTCAAAGTGTCTGCATTATCAATTCAATGCATTCAACCTGTAGTGCATAGTGGACAAGTCCGGGACTGCTCGTTGAACAAAACAACGGCATGTGACTCGCACATCTTCGAACTGCTCCGGAGGGTAGGCCGAAATCCCCCAAACTTTACGGCTAAACACGACGATGAACAACTTTCAGGGATGGCCCTAGCTAGATGACTGATAGAACATTTTAGTAACACCAATGGACTGTGAAATGGACAATATGCCGAATGGATTGGGTGGTTCTGTGTACTCATCCGAATCCCCAACCTGGCAATAACTTTATATTGGATAATGTAAGTGCACCGGCAACTGAATAGTTGGAGGGAAAAGGTTGATATCATAAAGGACATGATTGGAAGTTTTGGGCATTATCTACTATATCTAAATAGCTAGCCCCCACTACAAGGAATTCTTTGCCTTCTCCTTGAGCCACATCACCTAAATTAATTTAGCCATTGGATATGCTAGATCAGTCCACCATAGTCGTCCGAGCTACACTGAAGAACCACTGCATCAAATGCATGCAGTAACTGACGCCAAAAAAACATGCAAAAATAGAAGCAGTAATCGGTTACCATTTATTGTGCCATGCCCAACACTTTATTATGCAGCACATACATTGCCTTGCTGCTTGATTTGTCACGACATTGGTTGCCTTGATGTCGGACTACTTGGTGTAATAATTTAGTCATCCTTACGGTGCCAACTAATATGTGTCTGCAGAAGCAGTTTATTTATGCCCAAAAAAAATATAACAGTTTATTTCCACTGCACTTGATGATGTTTCTTTCTTGATCTCCCCGTTGTGTGCCATAGCGTCCTCTTCTTAACTGGAACAGTTAAGCGTAACTGATGTTTGTTGTGTATAGACGCCTAGTTACAACCGCATCATCATAAATTCATGCATACGGGCATGTGTAATAATTTCCATGACATGACAAGACTTACAGTTATCTATGCTTTTTTCTCAACAATATGGAGTAGTCTCTAGACATTAGTACTTATAATTGATGCCCGGTGAAATATATATTGCAGCTATTACACTTGCAATATCAACAAACTTTTTTCTTTCTTAATTCATCACGTCTCCTAAATTTCTAAAGAATTTCCGCGGCAACGCACGTGGTATCTTCTAGTATATGTATGAACAAGGAACGGCCGCACTGATAATATTTAGTGCCAAAGAGAGCCCCACTGCAATATGTCATTTGGACATGTGATCAATGCACAATACTACTAATTCATAATTAATGTCAGAGTGCTACTCACATGAACTAAAAAGCAGGAATTATAAGAAAATGCATTTTTTAGCAAATAGCTGGATTTATTGACTGAATAGGAACTCTATGATGGACCAAGCATACAAAACAAGCACACGCAATAGAGCCTTTAATGAAACAAATGTTGCAACAAAATACTCCAAAATAGTCGTCGCCTCACGCTCCGCCATCCGCATCTCAATATTCCTTAAAGTCTCGTATGGAGAGAATGTGAGAAATTGATTCTACATTAGATGGAATAACTTTCTCAAGTGTTTTCATGATCCACATGATACCTTATCTCAAGAGGTGCGAACCTAGTTCTGCTAAAGGCATTATGCCATGGGACTCACCCTTTGCAAGGTATAGTACTTTCATCGTTGGATTGCCAAGGAAGATGGCTAAAAGCACGAAAGGATGTGACCCGGGGGGACCATCGACCAAAACAAACTCAGTGCCACCATAAGATGGACACCACAATCACCAAGTAGAGTGAAAGCGTTTGAAGACAATGTTGGGAGTAATGAGCACGAGACCAAACACTACATAATAAAAATTATTTAGTAAGAACAAGGAAGGGCCACACTGATAATATTTAGTGCTAAAGGGAGCCCCACTGGAATATGTCATTTGGACACGTGATCAACGCACAATACTAATTCATAATCAATTTCAGAGTGCTACTTGCATGAAAAGAGATTTGGTAGTAAGAGTAAACATAGAAAATAAAATAAAGTTCGGAGCTTCACGTGCAGTTGTTCAGGAAAATTGGAAGAAACTAATAAGATTATAAAGAAGGTAGGAGTTATAAGAAAAGACATTTTTTAGCAAATAGCTGGGTTTATTGATTGAATAGGAATCTATGATTGACCAAGAATACAAAACATGCACAAAGCGATAGAGCCTTTGATGAAACAAATACTCCAAAATCTTCGTCGCCCCATGCTCCGCCATCTGCATCTCATATTCCTTCAGCTCTCATGTGAAGATATTGTAAGAAATTGATTCAAAATTGAATGGAATGATTTTCTCAAGGGTTTTGATGGTCCACATGAATCCCTTACCTCAAGAGGTGCGAAACTAATTCTGCTAAAGGCATTAAGCCATGGGACTCACCCTTTGCAAGGTATAGTGCTTTCATCGTTGGATTGCCAAGGAAGATGGCTCAAAGCACGAAAGGATGAGACTGGAGAACCACCGACCAACACAAAATCGACTCCACCATAAGATGGACACCGCGACTGAGGAGTAGATTGCAACGTTGTAAGACAATCCACCGAGCTGGGAGTTGTTGATCCATGAGACCAAACACCACATACTCCCGATATCAAACACATCAGCCACACACCTAAAGAGAAAGTGGAAGACTTTTATTGCGGCGGTGCTGCATCCAGCCAGGTTGTGTTTTGTCCAAGGGACGGGCTAGACTGGTTATGGGTATCCCCAACCAGCTGGGTAGGGATAGCCTTTTTTTTGTTTGGTTGGGTGGATAAGATTAGCCCTTAGGCCAACTCTAGCCGATCCCCTATCTGGCTATAGAGGAGTAAAATTTTGGTTTTGCTTCTTTGTGTCGCACCTAGCCAAACTCTTCTCAAGGGTTTTGATGGTCCACATGAATCCCTTACCTCAAGAGGTGCGAAACTAATTCTGCTAAAGGCATTAAGCCATGGGACTCACCCTTTGCAAGGTATAGTGCTCTCATCGTTGGATTGCCAAGGAAGATGGCTCAAAGCACGAAAGGACGAGACTGGAGAACCACCGACCAACACAAAATCGACTCCACCATAAGATGGACACCGCGACTGAGGAGTAGATTGCAACGTTGTGAGACAATCCACCGGGCTGGGAGTTGTTGATCCATGAGACCAAACACCACATACTCCCGATATCAAACACATCAGCCACACACCTAAAGAGAAAGTGGAAGACTTTTATTGTGGCGGTGCTGCATCCAGCCAGGTTGTGTTTTGTCCAAGGGACGGGCTAGACTGGTTATGGGTATCCCCAACCAGCTGGGTAGGGATAGCCTTTTTTTTGTTAGGTTGGGTGGGTAAGATTAGCCCTTAGGCCAACTCTAGCCGATCCCCTATCTAGCTATAGAGGAGTAAAATTTTGGTTTTGCTTCTTTGTGTCGCACCTAGCCAAACTCCTAAAACCTATAACGGAGGACAACTTTTACTTCCCCGCTGAAAATCCCCTCCAAGCCGCCTAAATATACTCAGCGTTTGCTCAGCCGAGTAAAAGTTGCCCACCTCTATCTGCCGCCCTCGCGACTCCACGATTCTCGCCGTTGCCACTCCCATGTGTCGCCTCGCCACCGATGACTAGCCCAATCGCCAGAATGGATTGCCAAGACGCTTTTGCCACCTCACCGGCCACCGCCGCTGGCTTGTTGCCGCCAGAAAACCACCCCGCACCACCGTCTTCGTTGAAAAAAATGTTGGGGATGAAAAAGCTCCACCGGCCACAAGCACCGACTCCAACTGTTGGGTCATTCATTTTGTTGTCGTAGTGTGGAGATGAACACAACCGATTTTTTAGCGTCTTTGGAGTCCTCGGCTATGATGGGCTATATAGTCTCAGTTATGATTCAATTTGGGATCATTCGGAGGCGGCCGAAGAAGAGGAGGTGGCTGACGGAGACGAAGTTGAGGAGGTGGCCGGAGCAAGCACGAGGTCGTCAAGGTCAGAAACTCACAACTATAATCTTGTCGAGGATGTTGCTCTATGCTATGCTTGGATGAACATCTTAATGGATGCAACGATTGGACCAAGGCTATGTTTTGGAAGAGAATTGCGGACTACTACAACAACTCTGTGGAGGTGACATCAATTTGAAACTCGTGATGATATATATGCTTGTCAACGGTTATGTTATGCATGTTTTAAATTGAATGTTTTATGGTATATATATTGTAAAGTGTTTGAAGTTCATGCAACTAGGACACAAAACATATGCAGTTTTTTTACCCCACTAAGTTCAAGGGATCGGCTAGGTGCACCTATAAACAGAAAATTGTTTTGCCCGCGACGTGGGAGTAGGGGTGGTTAGCGCCGATCGACAGTTTTTCACGATTGGGGATAACCTGTTTTTTGTGGAATATTCAAAGCATCTAA